GTCTCGGGGGGCACTCACCGACCAGAGGGACAAGCAGGGACAGAGCGGGGCAGGTGGCAGCGGTGGGGAGAGGGAGGCTGTGCCATGCTGGGGCAGGACGGCCCTCTGAGATCCTCCTCGTTGTTTCCTCTCTGACAGATCTGTCCCAGCAGACACAGTGAGGACGTGTCCCATCTGGCCGGAGCTGCTTGTGGGGACCCAGCTACTGGGGCTGAAGGTAAAGCTGCTGGGGAACCATCACTGCATTTGGGATGGGCTGGAGCCCAGGGCTGCTCTGCCCAGCACCTGGGTCTGTGCTGGGGAGGTGGGGGCAGGGGGGGCCGTCCTTCTTTTGGGACACAGAACCAGCAGCCACATTTTATATCTGGGGAAATAGACACAGGTGGATGCTGGAGTTGCTGTGAGCTCACTGGCTACCCCAACAACCTGCCCTGTTCCCAGCAAGGACCCCAGTTTCTTCCTCCTCAGTCCTGGATCAACCAGTAGAAGACACTGAGTACTTATTAAGTTTTTTTGTGATGTTGTTTTTTTGTTTGTTGGTTTGGTTTTCACCCACCAAAAAAAGCCAAAAAGGCCAGAGCCAGGAGAGGCACAAGGGGAGGGAAGGGGGGACCCTGGGGTGGGGGAACCCTGCTTATCCCCAGCCTCTCTGGCTATAGCCACAGCAGTGGGGCAGGAGCAGGATTGCAGCAGCAAGATCTGTGCTGACAGGGTCTGGGGGGCTGCCCCTGCTCCTGCCCTTAGGCTGGAGCATGCCCTGGAGAGTCTCTGCCTCTCTCCCAGAGGAAAGGAGAGGATTACAACAACATGGAGCACAGCAGGTGGGACCAGCTCCTGGCATCTTTAATCCCCACCTGGTCCCAGTCACCAGTGAGCCAATGCCTGCCCTCCTGCGTGGGGGAAGCAGAAAGGCTGCCCAGCCAGGTAGCAGGGGGCTCAATCCTAGACCCTGGCCCACCTCTGAGCCTCCTCTGGAGGAGATGGGCTGCAGGCAGCAGGAGGGGAAAACAGCTTCTCTCAGCTTGTCCTCCAAAGCTGTGTTTGTAGGAGAAAAAAGAACGAGGTGGAGGTGAAGGGGGAGCAGAGGGTACGTAGGTGGTCGGGGCAGGAGGCATGGAGAAGGGCTTCAGGGGATCACAGTTCAGCAGTGGGTCTGGGTAGCTCAGCAGCTCCTTGTTAGGTCTGGGCTGAAGTCAGATGTTGTTTGCAGCCCTCAGAGGAGAAGCCCCCAGCTGCAGCTGTGTGGCTCTCTGTGGTGCTGGAACTGTCTGGGGGTCACAGTGCCCAGGTGCAGCTCGGAGGGCTGGGGTGGATTTCCAGCCCTCAGAAGCAGCACTGGGATGCAGGGGCTTCCTCTGAGCCCTTTCCTGCCCTGCCCCTCTCATGGAAGGCTGAAGGAGGGGAGGAGAGCTTCACTGCAGAGGGCTGGGGGAGGATTTACCCCCTCTGGTTGCTGGCTGGAGGCAGCCCTTTGAGCCTGGCCCCCCACAAGCTGAGTGTTGTCTCTGCACTCCTGCAGGCTCCATGGATACAAGGATGACTTTAGGACTGCTCTGTGCTGCTGGCAGCACGGCACTGGCACTTTTGGGACCTACCCAGACCTTTTTAGAGCCGCCCCTGCTGCAGCTTTCCCTTGCACACTGAGCTGTGTGTCCCCGGGGCATGGGGAGGAAGCTGCCCACGCAAACACACACCCCGTGTTGGAGGGGCGGGGGGAACCTGCTGGTGTCTCTGTGCTCCTCCCCACCCGCGCTTCCCGCCTCCCCAGCTCTGTCCCTCTCCAGCTGTCTGTCCATCTGTGCTCCCGGGCCCCTTCAGCATCTGCTGGGAGCCCAAGCCAGCTGGGTGGTGGCTTGGTCTGCAGCCTGGTGTGGGAGAGGTCACACTGCCCTGTCCACACACCTCTGCAGCTGACTCCCCTGAGAGGCTCCCAGCTCCCTGGGGCTGCACCTGGGGGAGATCCATCAGTGGGCAGGTTTTGGGCTCAGCAAGCACCGTGTCAGTGTTGTCCCATCCACAGCAACGCATCGAGCACAGCACGGGGGAGGCTGTGGGGGCCAACATGGCCAGTGTCATCCTGGAGAGCATCTTCTTGAAGCGCTCGCAGCAAAAG